TGATAATGCTTCCTCCATGTCGTCTTCGGATGCAATGAAGATTGTGTTCCATGCTTCATTCACTTTGTCCAGTCCATGAATAATCTGAAATTAAGGTATGAGTAGCAGCCGTCAGAGGAAGCTAATAAGGAAAAGACAAATTTACAACATAAATCAAATATATTACTTAATATGGTGTTGAATGATGAATTAGGGTAGATTGTACTATTTTTGAAGCTTTGAAGAGTGGCTAGACACTCGTTATGGATTAGCCAGCTAAGACATGGTAAGACATTAGTTTGACTTGACCTCATTAAGAAGCTTAAAAAGCATACCTCAGTAAATATATAAATCACTCAAAAAGTAGCATTTTGGACTGACGACAAAGAAACATGATTGATGCTGATGGATAGTAGATTTAGTTTGCCAGACACCCCTATGCTGCATTTGGCAGTTTGCATTTGCCTAAATATTTTTCCTTTTTTTTTTTTTTGTTGGTGAAATGAAACACATGATATGATTATACTTCACCAGGAGAGATCTTATTGCTGTTCAGATTACAAGAACAAGAAAGCATAATCAATGACCAAGAGGTGGTCTAGAACTTACATTTGCACCAGCAGACTTGATGATGGCATTTAGGATTGCAGCAGAAGGTTGAACATGAGCTGCTATGCATATGTTGTATCCTTTAAGCAAAGCTCGGGGCCTTGCTATGGCTCTAAGAACTGCATCTTTTAGCTCAGTTCTATACCTTGACTTATACTCTTCATCTTGTAAGACATAAGGCAATTCTTCTGTACAGTGAAAGGGATTGTTAGACTTGCAAAGAGAAAGTAGTTAAAATCTAGAGATTCCTTTAAACATACCAACAAATTTTCCTTTTCTGAAGCTTTCTTTTAACCAACTGTTTGAGACAACCCAAGCCCTGCATTAGGTGCAAATCCTTCATGTTATGAATTTATAAACCACAACAATTAACTGCTTTGCTGATAAAAAAAAAAAAATTAACTGCTTTTACAAAGAACCATGTCAAAACACAATTTGAGCTAAGGAAACTCAGTAAACTAGAACCATGGGATTTCATTAAAAAATATTAAAAACTAAAGCTAGAGATAATAGAGGAAGAAGCACACAATTATAAACCCTCGTACAATGTCAAATGAGGTCTTGATAGCAATAATGATGATGGTCATGGTCAAAATATAAATTGGTGATTAAAATTTTAGTTGCCTTATTAGCAACCAGTAGGATGCTTAGATGTCTCAAAAAAGACAATATCTTTTAGCCAGTATTTGCCCCAGGAGTACGACGTACAGAATTTTGAATTTTCATATATTCTGAGAATCAAACAGAATAAAGACTAACCCCGAACATAGAGCAGTGCAGAAATTCAGGGTCTTTCTCACTTTTCCAGTGACAATATGAGTGCTTGAGCTTCCATCAGATGTCAGAGCACCACCCAGGGATTCAATTACCTGTATCAAAAAGGTTAATGCTTGTCAATAATACAATTACATAAAGTTACATATTCACCAGATGCATAAAAATAAAGCCAAAAACTAAAACCAAAAACAGAAAAATTTACCATAAAACACTCAACCAGCAAAGAGACATTCATATATAACAATTTATTTAGAAGAAAGGTATCATTGACATAATGGGAAGAGAAGAAAACAAGAATGTATTTATTATGAAAACTCGTGTACATAGGCATCATATTTGTCAGGGACATAAATGAATTACCCTTGCAGGTTTTAAAAGAGAATTGCATAGCCACTCATATTGAGAAGAAAATCAATGACTATATATGGAACAAGCTTGCTATAAACAGCACAGCAGATTCCCGTAATGCCATGGTATGTCCCTTATTTCTATTGCTATGTTTATTCACACAAAGACCACAAAAAAAGTATCAAGCTGGTAGAAAAACCAAGCTTTCTTTTCAAAGAAATAAAAGGTTTGAAGCAACAATAATCAATATTCAATAGAGGATAGATAAATAGAACTAACAAAATTCTTAATCTGAAATATAACATACCCGCTTAAGATGGTCATGGCAACTTATAGATGGAAATATGTTAGAAGAGTAAAGCAATCAAATCATTTGTGCATCAACGGGAACATCAAAAATCATAAATATTCTAAAGATTTAATGGGCATTATTTTAGCAAGTACTTCCAATCAAATCTGTAGCAGACAGGAGAGAAAAAGTTCTGATTAGCCAAAACTATAAAGGAATTCAAACTGCCAATCAAAGGAATACTTTCTTTAGCAATATGAGATTTGTGGGAAACAAAAGAAACCAACTTCAAGTAACCCTTTCAAGATGTGTTTTGCGTTTCAGACAGAAGTAAATGAAATGGATTCCATATACCTCGACAAGACGTGCTTTCTTTGCATCATCAGCGATGTCCATCAACATGATTCTAAAGGAATTTTTGTTTGCCTGAAGTTCATCACAAATAGGAGCTTGTGATGCCACTGAAACTGGACCGCTTTCTTTAGAATTATTTTCCATGGAATTTTTAATCAAAGAAATTCCAGGAGTAACTTTCATGGGTGATTTATCAGTTGAAATGCTCAAGGAGCATTCATTAAAACAACAATTCCTGTAACTTTCTGAGACCAAATAATCAGAATCTGTCTGGTAATCAATGTTATGGCTTCCTTTCACCCTTTTGGTCTTCAATGAAGACAATGATGCTTCCCACATCTTCCTTTTGGCACCTTGAGAAGAACAAGAACACAGATTAACAGCAGTATCAGCTCTTCTTTGACCTACAGATTCATCAATAGTTGAGGATGAAGACTTCTCACATGGCTTTAGTGGGAATTGGAACTTCAGAGATTCTGCTGGACCTGAGATGTCCTTGCGAAGATGAGAAACCATGAGGGTTGAACCACCAGGAAAGCACATTGCTTTACGTAAATCTGTCTTAATAGGAAGTCTACGAGCTCTACCCTTTTTATCCACTTCTGCTATCGATACAAAACCCTGTGCTTAAACAAACTCAAACATCAATAAAGATTTTTGGTTCTACCAAAAGACATAACTACACAGCTTATATAACGTGGTTTGTAGATATACTAGTTGCTTCCGACATGCTTTAAAGTTTAAACTTGAACTACTGAAAATGGAAACAGAATCCTCAACTCCTCATTGTATAATCACATGGATAATTTCAAATAGGTAGAGTTTAATATGCCAACTCACATGCACAAATGACCACTCACCACATTTTACATCATTAATAAATTACCTGTTTAAGCCAAAAATCTTCAGATTCCTTGTCAGCCCAACAGTATATGATACGAATACCAATGTCTTGAAGTCTCTTCTTCAATTCCATGTACAAGAATTTACCGAAACCCTGAAAATTATTGAAAAAAAACCAGTTAACTTGCAATACAATCTCAGCATCATATTGCACTATCGTAATCCATCACTGTAAAATTCTAGGAACACCACAAACCTTAAGTTGGTGAATTGAAGAAACAGCAGCAAGAGGGATCTCAGCATGCTGTGTATCAGCAGGGAGTATTTGATAAGTGATTGCAGCTATAACCTGTATAGAGGTATTAGAGGAAAACAGAGAAATGATTATTAAGCAAAAGTTAGAAATGTGGCTGAATAAGTTGCTTTTGCTGCCAGGGATAATTAAATGGAGGCAGTCAAAGTTATATACTTGATACGAAACACTGAATGCTCTTAACAGCCATGTAACAATGAACTTCGATGCAAGAGAAAACAGACAAAACAGACAAAAAAGGAAAAAAGGAGCATGAAACTTGACTTCCATGCATCGGGACACATTTTCAGTCAAAGTTATATGCTTGATAGGAAAATTTGAACCTCCTAAAAGCAATGTAACAATAAACTTTGAGACGAGAAAATAAACAGAAAAGGAGAAAGGAGCATGAAACATGACTTCCATGCACCTGGTCACATTTTCTGCTAATGCCGCCTTTCTATGATAGATTGAGTCTAACCTATAAGGTAACACGATCCACATAATTTAATATGAAAACCATAATGATACATACATAATTAAAAATAATGTATGAAGCAGCTTAGAAACATTCTTCTCATTATAATCTACAAAAAGTGCTAAACTTGTAACAAAAAGATATTGTAGTCTACCTCTCCAGAACCTTCCATGGGCTTGGATGTTAACAGCAAAGTACAATATTTCCTGAAGTATTGAAATATATTATCAAAAACTTCATTGACCTCACATCTTATAACCCTTATGAGTAATAAAATGTTAGCAACATACATTAGAACTTTCGAAACAAGGAAACAAGGTAAATTCATCTAAGTGCAAGAGAGAAAAATCATTATACCCATTTGACACACATCTTTCAAGAAACTTTGATTGCTTTCCTGTATTTGCAGCATAGTTCATTGTGGGTAGCTCCCTCGCATACAAATTTAGTACTTCCTGTAAAATCAACCGCACTCGGATTGCAAAACAAAAGGCAATAGCAAGATGCCATTTTTAACGCACACAAGCACAGAGAAACAAGCACCTGAAGATAAGATTTCGTGCAGCTATCGTCTTCCTTAGGATTAACAAGCAGAAACACATAGTCATCGTCATTGGAAGGCCTTTCTGAACAATCCCAAATTTTGGGTGCAAAAAATACATCAATTTAATTCCGTAAATTCCAAAAAAAAAAAAAAAAACCCAAAAAAATTAAAAGGAATTGAGGATGAATAACTTTACCTTTTACTTCAGATTTTGAGAGCAGAAAATCATCTCTAGACTTTCCATTCATATCATCCCTCACTAGCAGAAAATCAACCAGACAAGATATTTTAGTGAAAACATTATAAATCAACGCCATTAAATTAAAAAAAAAAACAAAAACCCATTTCAGTGAAAATAATTAATCGGGGCAAATTCCAGACACCAACATTATCTATGGAAAATCGAAAACGAAGGGAATGAAATTAGTACCTGAGATTTTGATTCTTGTGTTTTTGGAGATGGATATTTGGAGACTGTTCGGATCAGACTCGCAGACATACTTGCTCGCTTCGATCAAAACCTCGCAGTTACCTGCGAAACCCAAATCGGAAAAAAAAAAAAAAATCAGAAAATGGATTCATGGATTTTCTGGAAATTTCAAGGTATTATTATTTTTATTTTACCGATCGGAATTGGAGCAGGAGTCTTTTTTGGCGCCATTGCTTTTCTTGAGAAGGTTTCAAGTTCCAGCATAAGCGCGAAGAGGAAGATGAAGTAGTATAAATATGCAGAGGGAATGGATGGTATTTTCGTAACTGTGGGACTGTGTTTGTTCTTTTTGGCGGTACCTTTTTCACAAGGAACCTTTTTTAAAAAATCAATTCCCGCATCCGCCGTTTTTCAACTTTAAAATTTCTAAAGGTAATTTGTAATTAGATATAGAAAAAAGGAAAATTAGTACATCATCGTAACAGTATGCCTAATTCCAGTTTAAATTATTATATAATTATTATTAAATATTTTGATATTTTATATATTAAAATATCTTATCTTTTATTAAATATTTAATTTATATAAATATTTTTGAAATGATATTTTGATAATTAAGAGTTTTCTTTCTTTTTTTAAGAAAAAAGGTGGAGAAGAAATTCTTTTGATTAATCATATTAAATGCCCTCACGATTTAATGTGATTGGTTGAGTTAAATAACTTTTCTTTTTTTCAATTTTTTTAACTATATAAACCAAGTTTAAGATACCTTATCCTTCCGACCTAATGACTAATTGAAAGGATGCATCCCCTCTCCCTTAGGTTGAGTTTGATCTCACCTTATCTTAAAATTGTTCAAAACAAAAAATCGAGTTTAAGAAAGGATAGCTATTTTGCATAACACATTTACTAGAGTATCAAGAAAAGTATTTATTTAAATTATGAGATTTATGAAATATAGTTTAAATTATATATTAAAAATATAGTTATTTTTAAATTTTATTAAAATATTTTTAATAAAATAATATAAAAAATAATTTTATTAAAAATATTTTAATAAATTTATAAAATAAATTATATTTTTAATATATAATCTATCTTATAAAATATTTTTTATTAAATTATATTTAATAATCTTTAATGAGTACTTAAGGTATGTTTTGACTTGAGCTAAACCAAGGGGGGAAGAATTGAGAGAGAAAAAGAAGGATATCTTTCGCTTTCACTTCGTTAACTTAGATAAATTAAAAGAATTAAAAGAATTAAAAAAATTAAAAGTAAAAGATTTTTCTTCTTCGCTTATTTCTTTTAATTATTTTCTATTATCAAATTAATAATTTACTTTTTTTAATGATTTCTCTTAAACTAAATATAATTTAAGGACACGTAGGCCATATCTCATGAATAGTATTTAAAAATTGATTATAAAGCCAAGTACGTGGAAAGTGATTATAAGACCATATAATTGCTTTGTACCAAAAAAATAAAAGACCATATAACTGCTTATATTACCTTAAAAATATTTTCTGTTTAAAAATCTTAAAAAATTATCTTTCATATAAATTAATTGTATTTAAAATATAATCCGCTAAATTGATTTTGAAGCTCTCATAACCACTCTAAAGTCTAGACTCTAGACATTCATAACTAAATATATCTTTACATTACTAATAATTTAAATAATTTAATAACAATTTTTAGTTAAAAATAAAAAATTTTAAACTCAAATTATATAACAGAGCAAAGTAAGTTAAAAAAAAAAAGTTTTTTCCCATTACCATAGGAGATAAAAAAAATTATGTTTTTACATTGAAATTCATATCGGTTGTGTTTGGGAACTTGAATTTGAATTTGATGAGTGTAATTAAAATACATGTATTTGAAATATATGTATTTAAAATACATGTATTTTAAAATACATTGTTTGGATTGAATTAAAAAAATAAATGTCAAATACATACATTTTTAAATACATTGTTTGGATATTTTAAAATACTATGTATTTAAATTTGAATTTTTTCATTAAATTTAATTTTTTTCTAATTATTATTTAAATTAATAAAGTCAAAGTTAACAATTTTAATCTTTCAAAATTTATTTAAATTACCTCAAGACAAACAAATTGGATGAAAAAAAGGAACAATGACCTCTACTGATCAATTTGTCATCATATTCTCCATTTTCTGTTCATCTTTTTCATTGTCATCTAATATTCAATTTTTATAAAGATTGATTTATCATGAAAAAATTTCAATATGAAAAAAAAAAAAAAAACAAAATAGTATCTAAAATGATTATCAATTATGTCCATTAACAAAATAGTTGAGGTAACACTTCTTAATTGCAAAACGAAATAGAAATATAACATTTTTCATTGAAGACTTCTAACAATTATATTCATTAACAAGTAGTTGAAGTAACACTCATTAATTGCAAAATGAAATATAAATATAACATTCTTTGTTGAAGGTTTCCAAGTAAAC